TATATATATATATACACATATTCACACATGCCTACATACACACAACGGTTGTATATTTGATTGTTCATGCCTACATTCATAGCTTCCAATGGTCGCCTTTCTCGCAGGCGTTGCGAGCCAGTGGCATTGCGGCCAGCTTGGCCCAGGCGTCTATGTGGCCGACCGTTTTCTTTTTTTGAACGTTTGCACGTACAGGATTCGCAGTGTGAGTCGTCCTAGTGGCGGCAGTGGTCGAAAACATGTTCTGCCGTTGTGGTGCAGTTGCGCCATAGAGCATTGGTGGAGGGCTGCCCGATATGGAGCGTGTGCCATTTTTTTTAAAGGCTCGCAAATGGGACAGTTGTGGATTCTTGGTCTAAGTGCCTGCCAGTCCATCCTGAGTGCCCCGTGTGCAATAGCGCTTCATCCGAACTTTTCGACATCGAAACCTACGTTCAAGTCAGCGAAAAAAGCCAAAATAACACGATTCAAACAGCTAAACCATGCAGAGCAGGAGAAAATCGGGTTACACGCAGACGGAGAAGAGCGAGCTTTGCAGCATTGTCTATGTAAGCAGTGAGCAGTCAGCAAATTCGTCTCGAAAGGACATTTTGTGCGAGTTGACGTTGTCAATGTTCGTATCGTCATCCGCATTGCTCTTAGGTTGATAGACCTTTGATGTTGCATTTATGAGTTTAGGAACGCGGGACTCTCAGCGAATACTCAGATGCGTATAATAAGAATCACCCAGACGAGACGTTAAAGCCTTTCAAACGTTCAAATGCTGTATAGCAGCTTCAGAAAGCACATTAAACATCGTAAAATCTTTATACAGCCATATAAACTGCAACAAAAAACTTTTTACGGAAGACCACTATGCAGGTGGCAGAAGGAGCGTTCCAGGTCCAGGACCTTGGATCCAAAGGCTCCTGGTCAGAGATTGCAGAGAAGCGTCATAGTCAAGTCAGTGGTGGTACTTGTACGGAGTAGGAGCATGCTGATTGTGACTGCGAGAGGATCGGAGCCCTAAAGCTCAAAACCCTGCAGTGTTGGCGTGCGATCAGCCCGGGGTTTGGTTTTGCGCCCGTGCCTTCCAGAGACCTTTGGAAGGCTCTGTTCTTCAGACTGCACCGAGGTATGGGCGTGGTTGCTGCGCGTGACATAGACACTTGTTGGCACTCGCGAGCATTGAGTGCACAGTCTGCGCTTTTTTCCACTGCACAGCGCTGTTAGATGCTTTAAGCAGTGCTGCGGCAGACTTTGCTGGGCATTTGACCTTCGCTGTCGACATTTGCGCAGCATGAAAAGTTATGCCCAACTTGCTCCCCAAGTTCCCGGCACTATTGCGCACCTCATCCACTAACCCATCGCCCCCTTCAACAGGGGAGGATTCCTCGAACCGTACTAGTGAGATCCTTGTGTGGATGTGTTTCCTCCAACCCAAAACCTTACACCCTCTTGAACTGTAAGTCGTTCCCCTGATGCCGGCAGCAGTTTGACTTCCCGAGATTAATGTTCGGGCTCACCAGAGACAGCGCTCCGGGAGCCAGATTCAACTCAGGAGAGAGGCGAGCTCCTTCTGAAAGAGCAGCCGCTGCTAGTGGTGCCTGTGGTAAGGCAGGATTTCTCAGACGAAGCAGCCCATTCTGCTTCTTCCAAGTCGAGTTCCGTGTTGTAGTGACATGATCGGTTCAAGCAGGCTATCTAAAGTAAGACCAAATACATATCAGCCGCTTCCAAACCCGACAGGTTCATTGCATGTGTCGAGCAGGGTTTGATTAGTGCGTTGCAGCCCGTGCTCAAACAAAAGTTTCGGGCGAAAGGATGAGTATAAACCTTGAGTCCGTTCTGACTGTAACAGGGAGAAAAAGAACAGTCAACAACAAAGAATCACACCGTTGTGCCCCGGCTGGGGCTTCAGGGACACCCGGCAGCTGGATGCCTGGGAACAGCGGATCCTGGCAGACTTGGCTGACTCTTGGCAAAGAGCGCTTTTGCGTTTTGAGGCGCTTGGGAGTTTAGGTTTTGGGGTTTTTGGCCTTTGGGGGGCCGAAGGATTTTCCCCAGTTCTGGGCCGAACACACTCTGGGGCGCTGTTACATCAGAAGTCCGGACAGCAGCAGTGGCTTTTTGTGCATCCTCTGGTGCAGATTACTTGGAGGTTCATGGGTAGTTATATAAGTATGGTTATAAGTCCCCTAACAGGGGCTATAATTATAGT